GTGTAGCATACTGTAGGATGAGCAAACCAGTGGAGTTTCACGGTGGCAGGCGAAGAGCCACAGTGCTTGTATGTGCAAGATGTTCCATGGTTGTTGATATCGCTGACAAAAACAGCACCTAGCTCAACCATGATGAATACGAGATTGCCCGGAGCCCAAATGGCTTAGAGTGGTCCTCATAGAAATGTTGCAGCGACGCAGGTGGCAGAAAGACTCTTCGCAGTGCCCATGGTTTTCGACATGAAAATGGCGCTGGCTCCAGATATCTTGAGGTTGGCAGCGGTGGAAGGACTGCCACGTTGGAATCATGCCCTGTGCCGAACCGCCCGTACCTGAAGCGTCCCTCCTACGCGCACTTGATTCGATAGGGATAGCGCTTGACTTATAATTGGAGCATCTGCATGCAAAGAGTAGTATATCAGTAGGAACAGGCTGATTGGATTCAAGACGTGGACCAGGAGGAGTATAGACGTACTACATTCTGTGTAAGAGGAAAAGAGGAAGGAGTCGGCCGTTTCCGCGGGCCAAACAGAATTGACAGGTAGGTACATGTAGCTAAGGTACCACCCCGGACCAATAAATTGAGGGAACTTCTCCACAATCCGACTTTTACATACAATAGGGCAATCACGGGCTACACCGTCACACATCGTGGGACACAACGAACCCACCTGCATTAACTTAGGTAAGCACATGCGTATCATGAAGCAATATACCTCCAGGTAGTATGTAGGGCGGTCCGATCCAAGTTAGCTCATTTGATTGTTCATCTATACGGTGCTGTACGGTTCTGAATATTGGACGGCAATAAAAACTACCTAGATATCTAAGGACGGAGGTAAATTTGGTACTATTCTCTCCCTTTTCTGCCCAAAGCTCAGGGTTGTTGACCGAGATCAGAGCCGCCAGGTGTGGCCCGAGGTGTGTAAACCCCATATTATTTCCACGCAGATACATATCCAACTGGACACGCCTTCGCCCTGCGTTCGAGCAATACACTTGCTCTCCAATCAGGCATCGCAATGCAAAGTGATACGATGCCTAGTAGGTGCCTAGTAGGTACCTAGTAGCAGACCAAGAGTGAGGGTGACTGGAAGGGACGCCACCCATGTCGGAATAGCTCCACCCTGCCAACTCTCAACATCGATTTCCATTGTTTTAGGGTAGACAAGCCGATCAGAGGGGCGCAGATGTATGTATATCCAGCCCCTACCCCAGGCCTAGACCACCTCGAACCCATCAAGTGGGTACACTGCATGTCGGGGCAATGTTGTCTGGCATATGTAGAGCCAATATATCGTCCTGCCGCACAGATCAGATCCGCTTCTCAACCAAGTCACGGAGCTTCGCAACAGGCTAGCCTTAGGTCGCACGACCTTGGCCTCGATTGCTAATATCGACCCACGGTTATTGCGATTTTGGGGGAGGGGGGTAAGCAGACCAGGGTGAGGTGAGGCAGGTTGACTGAAAAGGAAAGGGAAAACAAAGAGGGTTGTGGGCCAAGTTGAAGTGGCCCACTAAGACGGTGAAAACGTCTTGGATCTCATGTTGAACGCCTGATGTTTTGGTTGTAAAAACAGAGACAGAACAAAACCCCTAAGACCCAAGTATAGGAGATGCCTGGGTCCACCGCGATGTTGTATAGCGGGTTCCGCAGATCGACGCCTACTTATCAATTCATAGAAACACGTTCCACTACCTACCCTCCTTTCGCGTTCCTCTTCTTTCCAAAGGGCTTAGCTTGGGAGGCTATCCTAGATGATATCCCAGGCGTCCTCGGCAGCGTGGCAGAACTTGCTACACGCGACGCTGGCTGAGAGGCTATATTGGCTAATGGAGATCTTTTCGTCCACGTACTCGTCTGCAAAGTTATCGGGGCCCTTGGCCATGGCACCGACAAAGACACATATGCTTTCCTTGGGTCCCAGAGTCTGGATGTAGTCTCGTACACGAACCGTGCTCGAGTCAAAACTCAGCGTGACCTTGCGACAATTGGGCGGGAGGTGGTCCGTAATGGGGTTTTGAATAACTCGAAGCAGTTTCTCCTGGGAATTGGTGGAGCGGATGGACAGACGGTGGAGCAGTTGGACCATCAAACCAGCAAAGCGCTTGAATGTTCGGGGAATACGGACAGTTGGCGACACCTCAATGAGGACACCCTTGGCAGTCTGGATGTATATCTGTAGCTTGCCCGCTTTGTTGATTGGCGAGTCCAAAAGAGTTAGGAGGCACTACATCAGTTGAAGACCATGTCAGCATGTTGAATGCCAACTCATGAGAGAAAGACTTGTTGAAGAGTATGTGAGCTGATATATTCAGCGTACCTGGTGTGTAATATCAGGCCGGGCGTCGCTAATGTCACGGTTCATCTTTCGCATTACTCCGATGTGCTCGTCGCTGTTGAGAAGCGAATACTTGTCCTCGCGCTGCATACCAGCGCGGCCAGCGCCGCCACCATGAGATGCCTTGTAGGTCTCGAGGCTAGCATTGGATAGTACGACTATGAGTCTTTGGCTGTCCTTGTCGCTAGAAGATATAGGCACTTGTTGCTCTGCGACTAGCTGAGGAAGAGCAGGAGGGGGTAACGACTGGGTACCTGCAAGGAAAGCCATTGATGTTAGATACGCCAGTCGTTAATATTGCATAGGCAGGACGATATGGAAATGAGGGGTCGCGGGCGCTGTAAGAGCCCTTAGGATGTTAACCGGCCATGGCGGTTTCCTATAACTGAAACCTTCGCAGGGCGGTGTGGGGATATCGCAAAGAGCGACGGGTCTGCGGGTGCGGCTGAGGGGGCCAGCTCGGAGCTACGTATCGGCGACGGGCGGAACAGCCGAATCACTCGTGTCTCTCCTTGCGCCAGGTAACAAAAGAAAAAGCAATCTTGAACTTACGAGGTCGCTTGCCTGCACGGTAGGTCGTTGTGGTAGGCATTATGGAGATTTCCGAAGTGGAAGGTCAAGGTAAGAGGTAGTCTCAACAAAGTTTTGCTACCTAGAAGGCAAGCAGAACGAGACAGGCGATTGATGGTCAATGAAAAGGGGATATCTTTCGAGAATTGTTGTCTGAGCCGGTTTAATGCTGACTGTTGTTGGGCGGGAACGGATAATTGAAGTAAAGAAATAGTGGAAGGAAATATGAGAAAGGGTTTGCACTGTTGTGGAGTGGATTTTTGTCTGCGGCTAGTTCGTCAGGGGTGCAGGGGTGGATGGATAAGGTTGTTATCCATCAACATCAGTTCACCCTGCATCCTTGCATGCTACACAGCAGCGCATAATTGCATGCCAACCCCTCCCTAAACACGCCCCACTGGATGATGATGCACTTTCAGGGTCTAGGTTCCATTGAAAACGGGCACTAAGCACGTGGGGCTGTCACTTCGGCTTCGGCCTCCGATTCCGAGACTCTTAATTCACCGAAAAGAAGAAGAAAAGCAGTTGCCCGAATGCGTGGAAACACTTCCGAAGCAGATCCGTCAATTCCGTCAAAAATTGGAGGCGAAATGACTTAACGCTAGAGCCTCGTGGTATAACTGAAGGAGTCAATAATCTTACTCAGCTTGTGCTATGGGAAGGGAAGGATTTCGGAGTAACTTTCACGGACCAACGTACACCTGCAGTCATCCGAAAGCCCCGGAAGCCTTTGATTGCTCGGTGCTGCGGCACAGGGCGTCCAGGCCTGCGGCAATCACACCTCGTTGCTCACAAGGATCGTGTAACTGATGCGTTACTACTACTGGCAGTATCGGGGAAAGTATCCCGCATACGCACTCAAGTCGTTGCTCTTGAGTCTTTAGATCAAACATATCTAAATCATGTTCTCTCTTCCGGGGTCCAGGTAGGATTGGTAATATAGTCACTCGTAGCTAACAGCAAATTAGACCGAGATATATGTACTGTAACAGAAAGTCTCCCTCCCCAACACGGGCACCGCGTATCAACAGATCGGGATACCGTTACATTCCTTGGGGTTTTCTCCCATTTCTTAGGTACATATCTCGATAGCAATTAATAACATATCACGGCTATCAGAACCGCCACGACTAACCCAAGGAGGGTCGATTAATTGGAATTCCGCGCCCGTCAAGAGGCTAGAGCCTGAGATAGGTGTAGACGGCGTAGACAAATGGTTTATACGCGTGCTTTGTATACCATTATCCCTGGCAGATAAGTTCTGGTCTCCCTGCGTTACATTGGGGTCACCCCTTGCAATGTGCCTTTCGAATAGGTGACTTAAGTGGAGAGGGAGATCTATATAATACCGACATAAGGGAAGTTTTAAAGGAAGGACGATATAGTGATACACATAGGTAGAATACATAAGCCACCTAATTGCAACTTTACCACATACTCCCAACATTTCCTTCCACTATACTTAATACATGCCATAAGTTGATTTCAGGAACCAATCTCATCGGAACATATAACATCACGACTTCCCCAGCCAGGATAGGAACATAAAAAGGTTAGGTTAGGCAGAAGATTCAAGGTGGCAGTTTTGATCACCTCTGGAACAGCGTTAGGATGATTCTGAACAAGCCCCCTTTCTGCACTATATACCAGTTTCAAGTTATCCGAATATTCAGTTAGTTATTGCGAGATGTGGCTTGTTAGAATAGCTTCGGTTACCATTGGTTTCGATCTATTTACATTATAGCTGGATGCCGATGTTGTGATCTTGTGCATCACCGTGGCTAACCGATTGGCCAGGTTCATGCTCCCAACCGGCATTCCATCTGAAGTAAACTAGCTTATTCTAGCCCATGTTCATCCAGTGGTTGAACACAAACGCTAATACACGTTCAACCACACAGGATACGATGCTTCCTACAATAGGTCTTAAGCCTGTCATACTCATTCCACATGAACGCCCTAGGCAAGTATATCAATGGGAGGTAGACTGGAGAAGAGAGGCTACACGTAAAGCTCCAAGCCCAAGTCATTAGCCTAATGAGACCTAGGGACATCAATAGCAAGAAAGAATATAAAAATCAAAAATAAAGGCGCGTAGAGGGTTCGAACCCCTGACCTCTCCCATGTGCATAGGCCCAAAGAGAGCGAGTTAACCACTCAACCACTGCATCGAAGTGGTTGTTGAAATCGCCGATGCAATTCATGGTATATGGGTATATTTTGTTGTCTCCTCGTTTCTACAACGGCTGTTTAGGCGGTTACCTAAGTAGCAAAAAAGGGGGCTAACGTGTCGAGTACCATGGTACGCTTAAACAGCCACTGCCCGTGGAATAATTAAGTTTTGACACTAGGTCTAGGCATATACTAAGGTTACTTGTTTTGTATCTATTTGAGTTTATTCTAAGGGTTTAGTATCTCATACTACCAAGTACGCTATAAGCGACCCAGCTTTGTCAATACATTGACGCTCTTCACGAGGTTTTCAGCAAGATATTCAACCAGGTGTCACTATCCCGCTATGGCTTTAAAATCTGAGAAACGTGTAAACCTTTGTCATTGTCATTTTTATGTGCGTGGTGTCACAGGGTATATATGCGCTATCTGGCTGCTCACAGATAGCGGTATCGCTTTTGCGACACGAGATCATATAATAGATTATCCTACAGAGGCGGAGATTGATAGAAGTTAAACGTATACGTATCACCATGTTAATAATGATATATGCTGACACGGTTGTTATGATGCGTATTAGGTACCTAGTCTTTCATTGGAATCGAGACGAGATAACCATTGTTCCAATTTTCTATTCGAGGGGGCAATAATTATTTTTTAAGCTCTAGCTGGGAGACATTTCCTACCAGCGGTATCATAACATACTCTGTCCCTTGGGTTGCCGTTTGCAACATTAGCATAGGGAGATGAAACTAAATCTCTGGCACGTTAGCCCTCGACAGTATCTGTTTTCCGGAAATAACGAAAATAAAGCATATAAGACCATGGCAGTTCAACATAAATTGATAAATTGCAAATCCTCATCCTCCACCTATCTGAAGTATCTCCTTCCTTCGCATGAGGCTGAGAATAGCTATCTCAGCCAACAATAAGACGGGATAGAAATAAAATCAAGTTCCAAGGAAAATATATGAATATAATGAGACATCATGAGTGAAAAAGCCCAGGACCCAGCTTCGTCAAATGTGACCGTTCATGGCCAATGTCTCTCCAGATGCGCCCTAGGGGCCTCTGAGATGCTCTAACCAGTAGCCAGCTTTTGCAATTGTGAATCTATAGCATTATATATCAGCCAAGATTCCCAATGAGCACAAGATGTATCGGTGCTGTAGTCAACAGACCACGGTAGTAGCCAGGAAGCGACTAGCAGAGTCACTTACATTCTCCATTGAAGGTATCCGAGTCGCCACCGTACTTATATGAATTATTAAACTGCCAAATCGTATAGTAGGGCCATCCACCGGGTGGCGTCCCGGCACTGCTGCTATATCGCGCGAGGACGAGAGGGTTGGTATTGACAAAAGCGCTCGAGCCGCCAGTGCAGCTCGACCACCACGATGGGCTGGTATAGATCAGAGGGTAACGTCCCGTTTTGCTGTGGTAGGTGTCGCTGAAGTCCTTGATCCAAGAGACCATAGCACTTGTCGAGAGGCCCGTGCAGTCGCCCTCTAAGTCCAACATGCCTGGTAGAGTGATTCCGTCTCCTGACCAGCCACCGCCGTGCGCCAGAAAATAGTTGGCCTGGGCGGCACCAGAGGAAGAACTAGGATGTGCGAAATGGTAGCCACCGCGAATGAGCCCGGCCTTTGTGGCGCTGTTATAGTGGCTGCTGAAGCTAGTGTCAATGTATGAGGTACCCTCTGTAGCCTATATGGGACTGGTTAGTCTTTGTTCTGAATGGCTTCACTTTTCGGTGTGGGAGTTACCTTGATAATGACGAAGCGTGCTCCATCGCCGTAGGCTGCCCCAAAATTTACGTTCGGTTGGTAATTAGAAATATCGAACCCTGGGACAGCTGCAAGGGCAACGCTACCCAGGCCCAAGAAAATTGCAGTGAATGCTTTCATGTCTGTGGCTGGTATGTCTGTTTCGGATGTTAGATGCCTTTGGATATTGTTAGTCTTGACCCGCGGGCCTGGCGGCCTTTAATACTCATCGGGGTATCTCGAAGGACAGGTATAAACGTAGTGAGTCAGCCAGGGTAGCATCTACAACGTGATCTGAGGGTATGACGTGAAAGTGAACCTGATCTGAGCTGAAGGCCCTAGATTGCATCGCCGATCACGTAGGTAGCAGAAGGCAAGAGCATCCTTAAATATATTATTGGTTCCCCAGATACCCTATTTCTCAGCTGAACCTGAGAAGCTGTCGGTCTTCGTTGATCTTGGTAGGTGTTCATAGATGTAGTGACATTACTTACCTGGCGGTTAGTGTCTTGTATATACATTGCTATGGTTTAAGCTCGAGGAAAATTGTACACCAGTCGAAGGACCATGTGGGACCAGGCGATGGTATTGTGGCTTCAGTTCGCTTGTTACGCTAGGCTCTTGTGGTATCTGAGGTGACCGTGGCTTTAAAAAAAATCAGGGCATGGCGGGTTTCAAAAGTCAAATTGGGACGCCGAACCATTTATTCATGGCAGAATATGGTGATGTCTTAAGATTAGTCTTCTGATATGCCTACTAGGTACCTATGTAGGCTTGGACCTGTAAGTCGTCCAGGACGTAAACGGAGGGATATTTTACCCGGCTCAACGTGATGAGCTGAGTTCCTTGAGTTCAGCTTCTTGCTGATCTTCACGTAACTTCCTTCCAGAAAGGGCAAGGTGGCATTGCCTTGGCTTCATGAATGACGATATCCGGTTGTTGTCCTCGGTTGGTAGTGACACCTCTGGCCAGGTTTTCAACAATGGTCACAAGGAGAGGACCTCGCTTGTTCAACGTCGAGAATGCGCACCGTTTCCGAGTTTGGGATCTTGGGAGACGTCTTCCCATCTTAGCTACACATAAAGAGGTAGACATGCACTACTGGGAGATGCTAGTGTAGTATCATTGGGTGAGGGTGGGAAAGTCGAACTAATTGCACTATCCATCTATGAAGGCTTGGTAGTGACAGTTGCTTTAACCAAAGAACGTCTCAAGTGTTGAACAAAGTCGTTTCACGGTAGTCGTAGCAGAAATTCTGTCGCTACGCTTAGAATTAGAAATTTTTCCCATTGCTGTCGGCTGGGGAATTCAGCTGAAGCGCATTTTCATCATTGAACTGTGGATAGAGGTAGGTAAGGTCGGTCCCCTTTTCCCTGGTGCTAAAACCCGGGTCCGAAGCCGTTGTTTTAGAGTTACGTACGGGTGGGACTCCCTAGGGCAGACCTTAAGAGCAAACCCGCCAACCCGCTAATTCAATTCATGTATTGAAATGTATACTGTACAGGCACTGTAATGCACTATATAAATGCACTGTATTTCTTTTCTTTCAGGGCAATATAGCGCTATTAAGCGCTGTAAATACAGCACTGCTGTACTGACTTACTGACTTATTGACTTACTGACTTATAAGACAACAGGTTGTTCGACTAGTTAGTTAACCAGTCGATACAGCAGTCGATTTAATAGTCGATTTAATAGTCGGTTCAATAGTTGGTTCAATAGTCGGTTCAACAGTCGAATCAACAGTCGAATCAACAGTCAATATATCAGTCGATATATCAGTCGATACAGCAGTCAATATATCAGTCAATATAGCAGTCGATTCAACTGTCGGTTGAACTGTCTGTTCAACTGTCTGTTTAACTGTCTATTCAGCACTCAGTATGTACGTATGCCATTCGGATTGATTAGCTGGCTATTGACCTGACTGGCTAACTGTTGATTCAACAGTTGAATCAATAGTTGAATTGACTGCTGTATTGATTGTTGAATCGACTGCTGTATTGACTGATATATTAACTGCAGTATCGACTGTTAATACGATTGTTGTTGAACCGACTCTTGAATAGGTAGACAGTTGAATTGACTGTTGAATGTGTTATATATGTTGTATACCTAGGAGGTAGGTATGTTGTATATGTTGTAATATAAGACTGCGGATTATGTAATATAAGCCACCTGGCAGGCCCAATGAATCCCCTGTAATCGATAACGCCGGCGGAACCGTTTTCCCGTCCTCAGTGGACAAAGGGTGGGTCCTATCCGCCCACCTGCAATTGGATCGCGAACTTTTAGGGCCCTGCCAAAATATTTTGGTACGAGGTTGAAGACGGCAACGAAGAACGAAATCACACGCCAGAAATTCGCCATAATAGGATGATAACAACTTCGAAATCTTAACTGGGAACTGGCGGATTCTACTGGGCAGAGAAGGAGCTAAGAAAGAGGGACATGGCCTCCGAAGTTGCGGCAGCGGCCGCCAATGCCGTGCGGCAGGCAGCCAAGGAGATGCACGGTATCGTGGTGTCTGCCGGCCGGATGGACAAGACAGTAAAGGTCAAGCTTGGTGGGCTACGATGGGAGCCGAGAGTACAGAAGGTTAGTCAGGGCGCACAATCGCTGAATCCAGTGGACCATAGCTAAATCTCAATTCTTCCGTCCAGTATTTCAAAGAGCCGCGATTCAAGCTAGTCCACGATCCCCGCAACTCCGTCCGCCAGGGCGACGTGGTAGCCATAACGCCGACCTGGAGAGTATCACAGCATGTGCGCCATGTCGTCAAGCACATAATAGCGCCGTACGGCGAGCCCATAGAGCAGCGGCCGGCCGTTCCCACGCTAGAAGAAAGGCTGGCTGAGGTAGCTGCAAAGAGAGCCGCCAAGGACGAACGGAGAGCTGCACGGAGGGAGGAGCAGGCCGCGATCAGAGAAGAGAAGAAGGCTGCCGAGGAAGCAAGAAAAGCATTGAAAGCGAGTGGCCAAACCCCTCCAACTGCCCAACCTACATCGATAGAAGATGTCGACTGAAACGAGACGGTCGCTCATGTAGGAGAGACCGCGAACAGGGCACAAGAGAGGTAGGATAACATCACCAGCTTGACCGAAAGAGAGCGCGCAACGCGAGTTCGGTATCATGCTACCAGGCAAACTTGTATATATCAAATCGCCCGCATGTAACATATGATGTACAACTACGGTTGCGAATGCCCTGGTCTTCAAGAACAATGCATTGAT